GAAGGGGAGAGAGAAAGAGAGAGAGAAAAGGAGAAAAATACTACACATAAAGAGGTTTGACAGGTTTGAGGTTTGGGTCGTTTTGACTGGTAATACACCGGGCTGAGTCACTTGCTGTTAAAATCCTATCTTAAGGTTTAATACAGTAAACGGATTCCATTTCTTCCTATGTTGCAATGCTGTTTGTTTGTGCTGTGTGGTTTCTGAACTCTTCAGAAACCAGAAGTGGTTTTAACAGTGGATAACTGTGTGAAAACACTGACCTGCTTTACTTTTATGCTTAATGATAAACTAATAAGGGATTATTTCCATATGAGTTTTCAGGGAGGTTGTGGTGCAGACAGGATAGTAGTAGTGGAACTACAACTGTATTAGTTGGCTTTTATTCCAGCTGTTGTCAAAAGAAAGAAAACTGTTTTCCAAGGTAAAATATCTTGGTCTAATCTTTAAATTTGAGAAGCATGTTAAACTGGTAAGAAAGGTTGCAAATGGAAATGTACATACATTTAAACTCGTTGGAGACTGTTTACCATGTTACACTGCAAATAGTTGTATGCATTCCATGATCTTATCACATTTAGGCTATTATGTAACTTCTTAGTCACAAGCAGCTTCTACAACAATCAAGCCTCTTAAGACGACATACAACCATGCGATTCAAATTTTGCATAGGAAGCGATACAATACCAGCACCAGCATATTTATGTTCATTCAGTTCAATTTGCTAGTCATAAACTGATCCATAAACGCCTAAACAACCAAGCTCCTGAGGTGCTCAGTGATGAGGTTGTACCTCTCAGGGTTTCTGGCTCAGTTACTCAGGGTGCAGTTTTGTGCAGTGAGGAGCTGTAAGGTGCCCTTTCATAAATCCTGCGTCCTCTGCTCAGGGGATCAGTATGAGGAATTCATTATGGATCAGACATGTATTATGGAGTTTTATGGTACGTTTAATTGTATGATTGTTTATGTTTTTTATGTATTTAATTTTTGTGTCCATCTAGGAACAGGGCATTACAGACTGGTTTAGGCTGTGCATTTTGTGGTATATGGCATATATTATATTTATATATTTCTATATAAAAAATATAAAGATGAGGGGAGTAGTACTGGTTGTGTGCTAATAATGTTAGTGCTAGTGCAATAGTAATAGTCTCAGCAGTACTATTGTTGGTAGCAGCTGTGGTAGAGTACAGTTATATTAAGATTAGGCAATTTCTTAAACTTTAACGTCATTATCAGTCACTTGATCAAATACATTATAAACACATCAGACACACACACACACACACTAATAAAATGCTGTTTTTTGTGCATTTCACCGAGCAAGGCAGAGCAACACAATGGCTTGTTTACCATGAAATTATCTTTCATCCTGTGACAGAGGTTCAGTTTATAACTTCTCCTGCCAGTAAAAACACTGACATGGAACCAGTCATCTACATCTCATCATCTCCATTTTACATTTCCCCTCTGAAGGGAAGTACATGAATCCTCATTGTTGATTATTTCCTATCGTTAATAATCAACTGAAACTATTAACAGTTTGTGACAGATAAACACAGACCACTCTTAAAACCACTGCAGAAGACATAATGAACTTTCAGAATTAGACTTCTGGAGTTAATTGCAGTCAAGCAATAAATATCATACACAGACTTATCTCTTTTTTAAAATATCTTGAGCAACCACCAGAGGGCGACATACTGCTCTAGTTTGTGATGTTATTAGTCTGTTACTGGGCAAATTTCATATTCAGAAATCATGACTCAGTAAAAACCAAATGATGAAATTGTGTACATAACGTACACCCACATACATTAGCCTACATTTATATGACATATTAATAATGTCTTCATTATATTGAATTCAAATCCATGGACACTATAAATAATCTGATTTCTCCCCTTGTATTGTATGACAAATATCTATTAATCCCTCTTATTGTTAATATTATTATGTTGTCTTTATATGTATATTTTGTTTTTAGCCCATTCATTTTCTGTCTCCGTTTTTCTGTGCTAAAACTGCCGGGAAAACTTTTCTGAACCGAGTTCCTGAATGTTGAACGGACAGTGGAGGGCAGCAGTCCACTTTGGCTGCATTTCATCTGTACCAACATCAGGAACAAGAACCGGATTTACGGCAGCAACCAAAGAGCCTTGAAGGAAAGAGCTCGAAACAGCTGCGACTTGGTGTAATAACAGCAAAATACGGAGCTTAAAGTGTGTAGTTGTTTATATAATTACAAAATACGCACAAACAAAGCCAAAAATAAAAACAACAACAATGTCCAGTCGTTTGAGACGCTACGGACCTCATACTCAGCACTGCCGCTGATATAAGGAGCGACGCCATCTTTCTTCCAAAGGCGTCATCCGTGATTTAGTTTTCTAGCGGCGACCAATCTCCCTCTTTCAAAGAGTCTTTCCAATTACCCATGATTCCCCTGAAACGTATGACCTGTCTCTGGCCTTGGCGTGTAGCGCGGTGCTGCTCGTTGTCAGTGTGTGCTGGCTGTAACGTTAGGGCTCGATCAGCGTTAACCAGCTAGTGTTCCTGACCGACAAGTAGGCTAGTAAAGCGGGGGACCGTCACAGCGGAGCTGAGCCACAATGCTGAAATGTAGAAGTGTATGGAAGAAGCTTGCACCTCTTGCTAGGGCTTCATCCAGTGTGTGCCGGCAGAATGTGAGGAGAACAGGTCAGTAAATAGTTACAGTAACTTGCAGTCTCCTTGTTAGCCGGCCTCCATTCAAACATACATTTTCTTTAAGCTTCATATACACAGCAGCGACAGTGTGTTCAAGCAGAGAGGGGGACTCTGGCAGCTTGTTGGAGTATTCTGACCTTCATAGCTAACATTAACTGAGCTCATTAGCAAGTGGTAACATGCAGAAGTCGATAACATATCGTTAACTAGCTAACTTTAATCATATTGCACTCCACTGGTTGCATTAGCTCTTGCCTGAAGCTCACTAGAAAGTAAAAAATGGACTCTAGTTACTGTCACACGTGTTTTTGGCAGCTGGTACCGGGCTGCAGTGTGGTTATAACAGGTGCTGCAAGTCACATTTTGCCATGTTTATAGGCCGAGATTGTTGGTTTTTTTTTTGGGTCACGGGTGGTTTTCAACCCCTTGTGACCCTGAGAGGATAAGCACAGTGTGTACAGTCCCTCTGCACAGTATGCCCATCGGTTGCTTGAATGTACAATGATGAGGAAAGTGGATCATGAGAGAGGTTGATCATAATGAGGATTCAAGCCTCTAAACCAAACTCAGATGGTGTGTGTGCTTTTTTTAAATTAACCTAATTAACAAGAATAAGGATTCCTGTGCACCAAAGTTTGCCCTTCATTTTGGAGAATGTCAAGTCAAAGCTCAGGCTGACACGTAGAGATGTAATAGTACCTTGTATATCCGTATAGTGTGCTTACATAGCATCTTGCAATGAGACATGTTTTTATTGTCAGCCAATGGAGACACATTAATGTAGCAGTCACAGTTTATGGCCTGACATGTTTAAATAACGGCGGGACATGTCATGCTTGCTATGTCTCGCCTCATTGTTGCTGGTATCCAGCCAAATAGCAAAGAGAGATGTAATTGAACAATGAATACGTCATTTAATTCAGTGTAACTGTCAGTCAGACAGCTGTAACCTGATAAGCCTGATCAACATAAACATAAACAAAGATTTCCAGCCATGATGCTTCAGTTGTAGTGTTTCACCAGTCTCCATCATACAGGAATATATATATATCATCTAAAAGTCCATGTTCAGTGTAGTTGTGTGCATATGAGATATACTGCAACTACGATCGACCTCTGTTTGGATTGATTTTGGATTCACTTTGTGAACGCTGTCGAAGAAGTTGGACTGAAATGAATGCTGTTTTGATCAGTCTAAGATGTGTCAAATTGTTTTCAGGGTTAACCAATGGCAGAATACCAGCACACGTACCAGCCGCGCACATGTCCACCGGGCCGGCAGGGGGAGGACGGGAAAACCAGCTGTACATCCTTCTGGTTGGAGCAACCTTCCTCGGTGGTGGAGTATATGTGAGTGACTCATATCTGACAATGAGGATTTATCATAACACACAGTACATGCACTGAAAATCATAAGCGATCCGTTGGAAATGGGCAGTGTTTGTGGTCTTTAGTACATCACATTTGTTTGCAGGGTCTCACCCAGACGGCCCTACCTTGCCTGTTTGCAAATATTCATGCGTCGGCAGAATCAGGGCTGTTTCACAGAGTAATAGCTGAGCTGATTGCATGTGATCAATGAGTTTTTTTTTTGTTTTGTTTTCGCAGGCGTACCGAACTGTCAAGGGAGACCAACAAAGATATCAGGAACGTATTGAGGAAATTTCATCCAGACCACATAGAGTAGCCAAGCAAGTTCCAGCCGCACCCATCCAGTCAGAGCCTCCTGGTGAGTAGTGTTTATCAACTGATTTTTGTTATACTAAAACTTGGATTGTTCACTTATTTCCACAAACAAGCCTAAATATCTATCTATCAGAGACCAAGCATTCCAGTGTGATACTGTTTTAGTTATGATCAATTAAGAATTTCACTGTTTTAACTGTTAATATACTTTTTTTTGGTTTGTTTTTAGCTGCGGAAGCCACAGAGAAAGAGAGTGAGTAGATTTGTATCTTAACATTTATAGATCAAACTCCACCTCTGTTAATAACTAAATGGGTAGTACAACTTAACCATGATTTTATAACAATGAGCTAAGAGCTTGTGGATTAGCTGCAAACATCTTAAGAACAGCACCTGTGTAGTCTTTACTGTGTCACTGGTTTGACTGAAAGGGTTTTGTTTTTAAATCATAGTTAAAAGTTTGGTGTAACAGTGAGCCTGGAATCAGCTGACTCTGCAGTACATACTTTAGCTTCCTCTTTCTGCATGTAAACAACAGACACACTGTATTTAAAACTGTGTTAGGTGGATTTACATGAATTACTTTTAACCCTGTTCTCTCTGATTCACACACCATCTGAATGTCACATAACACAAAACAAATGATGTTGAATGTCAGAATAAGTCAATAATTTCATAGTTAATGTTTGATTATTCTGTTCATTCCTCGCTCAGCCGTCCCTGAGCCAGAACCTGAAGCAGCACCTTCACCAGAGGAGCCAAGCCCTCCGGCCCCTGATACCAAAGTAGCGGCCCCCAGTGAAACAACTGAACCGCCTCCAGGTTGTCTTCATACTTATCTATACTCCTACATGCATGCCTAACATGTGCCTCCTGTGTAAACACAGCGTTTGAACCAAAAAGTAATAGACAAAAGCATAGCAGATGTAGAATAATGCGTGCCATTACACTTTGTGCACATTCTATACTCTGAAGAGAACCCAGGTGTCAGAAATGGCGACACCAACTGGTGAAGTCATGTTACTGCAGGTTATAAAACACACCTGTCTTTTCTCACATCTTTACACTCTGCTCATGATTGTCACACATTAGTAAAATGTTAAAAATACAGTTCTGCAGTGATAATATGTTTTATACACGAGGCACCCTGGATATTCTGAACGTGCGTCGCCTTGTCTGTGAGTGAGAGTGCATTTACCGCATGGACTATGATTCTTGCATGTGTTTATTTTTCTTGTATTTAGCAATATATGTGTGTCACACTCATTGTGTTCTGTTTGGTTTAATTTAACTTGTGTCCTCTAACTGTGTAAATTAACCCTTTACAGTTTCAGTTCAACTTTGGACACTCACATACTCACCTCCAGTCTAAACTGTAAATATTTCCGTTGTTGTGGGACACAGTTGTTGGAGTTTTCAGTATTTTCTACAAATATGTTGGCTCCTGGTTTGCTTTGTTGTCATATTTGCGTTGGAAGATGGAAGCCTTCCTGTCTGAAAATGTCTGTGAATGTGTTATACTTTGTTTAAATTCCTGTCCCGGGATAGAAATTTATTGTTTGGTTTTTTTGTAATGCAATAATATTGATCATAATTGGAAGCTGCCCTTAGAAGTGAATTACATATTTTGACCTTTTTCATGCTGTGTCGAAGATATAATTTAAACAGGAAAAGTCCCTGAACGTCAGTGTGGTAAGAGGTGCTTGAGTAAAAATGAGCTGACACTGACATTAACACAGACAAAAGTTACAATTCTATAATACTTAGCATTTCTAGTACTAAATGATATACAGTATGTATGTCAGTGTAGAAGGCAGCTTCCAGTTGTTATTGAGTTAGTGTGCATGCTCTGCAGAATATTACCAGGGTAAAGATGAAGAAATGCATGGATCCTGATGGTCTTCCCCTTCAGTAATCTTGTAAAGAATTGAATTTTAACCCACACTACCCCAACAGCAGATGAGCCAGTGCTAGAAGCACCCCCAGAAGAGGCAGCAGAACCACCTGCTGCACCTGTAGTTGAGGAGGGTAAGATTTGAGGAAAGGGTCTCATTAATTTACCCATTCTATTGGAAATATTGGACTTTTTCTGATAATTCAGGTGCCATGTACACCTCAGCTATTCCCTCTGTGGAGTAGGTGCATACTATAGCTCAGTTAAACATGGATTTCACATATTAGCTATATGTAACTTTACCACTATACTACCAGAACCATCACCCCCATCTGAGCCACCCCCAGCTGAGCCATCCCCAG